TAGCGGAAACGCGAACGAAGCCTGGCTCGAATGGGATATTGAGACGAAATTCGTGGTTGCCGCATTCTTAAGGAATACTATGTGCCAACCTCAGTAGCACGAAAAGCATGGATTGGTAAAGAAGGAGAGTAAAGGAGATCGATAACGAGATGGATAATATAATGATTCCTTTTCCAGACAACGAGAAAAATACTTGGACGGAACACAATGACTGGAAAGAAAAGTCAAGAAATGGATATAATAAGAAGGAATAAGAAGGAATTTAAAGGGAGGTAGTAGTGATGACACTGAGTAAAAGGGTTAGGATTAGTGTACCAAGGATTTTAAAAAATTTTAATGAAACTTCCTCGTTATTCTTAGAGAATTCGACTTGAAAATTGAAAATTTGACTTGTAGTTTATGAAAATTTCGATTATCGTTACGAAAATCTAGGTTATTTAAGTATGATCAAAAGAAATTATAAAACTACGTTAAAAAAAAAAGAAAATACATGTATTTAAAAAAAATATTTTCGTTACAAGTGAATTAAAATTGATTTTGGTACAATACAGTTTATTTTACTGTTACACATTATTTACTACATCTTATTTTATATTATGAAATTGTATATTTATATTATCAAAATAAAATTTTTATTACCTCCATAACATAATTTTTATATAATTATAATATTAATAAATTAAGAATTTCTTAAAATTATTATTTTTACTTATTTTTTTAACGCGATAATATAAGAATCCTGATTATTTCCTTAAATCACAAAATATTATATAAATTATACATTTTCTAAATTTTAATATTATTTTATATTTACTGCATATAAATACAAATCAGCATTTGTTATTATATGTCAAATTTGAAAAAAAAAAATTAATTATTATAATTCTCATATTGATCTTCACTGTTTCTTATGCCTGTTAAATAATAATTAAAGGTGTTGTTGACATAGCAATTACATTTCTTGGTTTACTAGAAATTTTTTCATATGGAAATTAAAGGCGTGCAAGTAAAATTAATAAATTGGATTAATAAACAAATGATATTGACTGAACGTTCACAAGGGTATTAATTTAATTACTTAACCTAAACTATTAAAGAGTTGATTGAGCAATTAATAAATGAATGATAAACTTTTAATTATTTCTACAGTCATTGAACAAAATTTCATTAATGCAGTATCTAATTATTAATGATTTAACTATATGCAATGATTGATTTTCAATTTATTATAGTATACTCTATAACATTATTGAATTCAAATTTTCAAATTTAATTTTACCTACAAACTGTATTTCAAACAAAGTTTCAAGTTTGGCAAATTTAAAGATATTTGTTTATTAAACTATTGAATAGTACATTATATTTAAAAAATGTTTGATGTATGCTTCGTAAAGAGTTAAGAAATACTTTTAATTCATATTATAATTATATAATATCAAATTTAAACAATTTTATTTATTTGCATAGAGTTCATTTTATTACAAAATACAAAAATATACACATTTTGCATTCAACATATTCACATTTTCTTGAATCTATTTATTTCATTCTATGATGTAAATTATATTTAGCAATGACTTTGATTGTATGCCATACGTATAATAATTATATTCTTCAATAATTATGCAAGAGGGTCGAAAGAATAAACGAATAATTGTTGGAATGATAGGATAAATTGATTAAAGACGCATATAATGAATTAACATTCATCTACCAAAGATTCTTATTTAAAGAAAAAAATCTCTTTGATAAATATATTATATATCTATAATATAAATATATTATGTATTCATGTAAATTTTATTATTTATATTTATATATTATGTTTGTATTTAATTTATGACATATAAATTATATATTTAAACAATAACATTATTGAAGAAAAATAATTTTTTAATGCAATAATTTAATTCTTACTTATTGTAGAATCGAGAGTTTAATAGTTTTGAGAGACATACTTAATTATATAAATTTATTTTAAAAAATATATCTATTATATCCATCATATTGTTTTCAAAAAAAAAAAAGTTAAAAGTTAAAACTTTAAAAGTTTGTTAAAAAACTGTCAAAAGTTTTTCCAAAGAAAATTCTTTTCTGTAATATTCAATTTGTTTTATTTATATTTAGTTATAGTTGTTACATTAATTTTAATGTTAATTATAGTTTTAATATCCTAAATTTTAATAATATGAATAATAAGTGGAATATAATTGTTAAATTTTAAAAGAATTACAGAATATAATTTTTATGCATCATTAATTAGCTCAATAGATAAGCAAGTTTGAATAAAATGTAATTCATCTGAAACTAATAGTATCGTAATGGAGGTAATGAATTTCATAATATTTATGTTTCCAATTAAATCTTAAGATTAGAATGCAATATGTTAATTTATAGTATGAATGGATATGTCTATTAACAGTCAATTAAAGAACGGAAAAATGAATAAAAATAAAATAAGTCAACTATATCATTATTAAAACAAGTAGTCATTTCAATAAAAATACTGTGAATCTGATAACTGGATTCCCAAATACTTTAATTTTTTATAAATAATTTCTTGTCGCAAACATAAATAACTTAAAAATATAAAATTTAATTAAATACTATAGAAATATCAATTGCAATAATACATAATATCGATTATGTTTATGACAAGTAATATTTTCATTCTTAAGTTATGTTATTTTTTAATTAACTTAGTATATTATTGAATTATATTGGAAATTTGCTTCTTATTTTGTAAATTATAAACATATATATTTAAATTAAAACAAAGTATAATTAAAAATTTCGAAAATTAATTTGCTATTTAATATATAATATTATATTTTTAAACCACTATATCGTATATACTTTAATATAAAGTGTTGCATATATATTTTGATATTGGCATATCAATAATATACAAATATTTTAATCGATTTCATTGCTCGAAAAATGTATACAATAAAAAATATAGGCATAAGTGTACATTTAATTCATTGTGCTTGACTTATTTGATAAAGCAAACATTGTATTTATTATAAAAGAATTTCAAATCTTTAATAAAAATAATTAATAAATTAATTTTTTATAATACATTTGAATTAAATCGAAGGATTGCAATTCATATTATTGGCAAGATTGTATATACTATTAGTAAACATTATTATGTATGCGTATATTGTTCTTTATTTTTAATGAATAGTATTATTAATTTCTATTCATAAATGAAATTTGCTAATATTTATATTTTTTAGTACCAACGCAATTACTTATGATACTAGAAATACGAAAACTACCGTAAGCACTATTATCACTTATATTAACAATAGAGAAAATAATATATTGTAATAAATATATATAATTTTGTTATGCATTGAATGCTTGGTATTCCCAATATTCCTGCTTTGTATATTTTGTTTAAAATAATCAGAAACCAAGTGTACGGTTTGCAATAAAATAAAGTACTGTTTAGTATTAACAAGTGCTTTTCTTCAGCTAACCATTCTCTCTTTCATTAATTTCTATTTGTTTTTATCTACTAAGTCTTGAATGCTATGGTCATATGTAAGATTGAAAATAAAATTCTAATTTTGTGTATTCAAAGTAATGAGAAAACAAAAAAAGTATCGTGTATGTAATATTGACATGAAATATGATTATTGTAAGGAGTAATAATATGCTTTTATTTTTTGTTTCTTCAATATTTTTACCCCATTTTATTATACACGAAGCATTACATAGTGAAATGTTTATGATTTCATCCAATAATAGTGTGGATTAATTTTTATAAAGAAACATATTGAAAGTAACATATTTATATGAAAATAGGAGAGCAATAAATGTTAGTATAATCTAAGATCTGACAACACTTCAAATATAAAATTTCATTTTTACCCATATGATAAAATTAATTATATAAGGTAGAATAATACAAGTGAATACAATTGTTCATATATAGCATATTTTGTTTATTGTATAAATATTTTTTGACTTTATGAAATATTAAATATAATAATATAAAAAATAAAATTTTCTATTATTTTTAAAACTGCACATGTATAATAATAGTAACTATGCTACTCGTTAAAGTTTGAGTTTTAATTTGACACAAATAAACATTACTGCATAAACTAATTAAAACATAAAAACAATCATTAAACTGGTTTTAATAGAATATGAATATATAATATACAGATCCAATGAAATGTTAACGACTATAATTATTTAAACATTGATTTAGATCTGCATATAGTTATTATTCTATAATTTGATATTATATGTCAATAGTAATAATACATTTTTTTCATATTTACTATATGTATTGGAAATATTTCATAAGTATACGTATAAATAAATTTCTGAAAAAGTGAAAAATAAGATTTAATAAATGAAAGAGAAATTTTACGTGATGTATGAAGCAAAATTAATATTTATGTCTTTAATATAAGTGGAAAGAGCTCTAAAGTCATATATTTTCAATTTTTATAAGCATGCGATATTTCATATATTAATTGATATATATTATCATTGTAGCTAATGGATTATATTGTTTAAAATAATTATATATTAAACAATATACACGTAAACTACTTAATTATTCTATAAAGTGCGCTAATAATTTAATTATTAATTAATAATTTTAATATTGTTTGTTTTGTTATTATATATAAACGTAATATACGTTTTTGTTTATGTTCTCTGAGTAATAAAAGTCAATATTCTCTGTATAAATTTTCGCACATAATTTGCACTATAATGTTATATATATTAAATAGTTTAATCATTTCAATTTTCGTTATTTTCTTTTCTGATCATTATACAAGAGAATACGAATGAAGCATATAAATTAATTCTAAAGGAAAAAGGTTAATTGCATCAACCTCATTAATATTATCGAATAAGCATACTTATTATATATATATATATATATACAGTAATACATAGTACTTAATGAATGAATTTATTACGTATGTATAAACGTGATTCTGGCATCAATGACTTAAATCATTTACCTTCTGTGCAGATGAAGAGTATGGCAGCAATAGAGAGTTTCGTCTGCCATCTCAGAGCCATTTCCGATGCCTATATTCACGACCACTTTTTAAATGAAATTATCAGCATATTTCACTGTTTGAAAGCACCATTACTTGAATCCCAATGCACGTAATATACAATTATACAACTCTGTACAAGCTCACAGTAAACTGAAATGATTATCACAGAAAATATTATGAGATGATTCGTATATTGTGTAATAAGGACTATGCATTTGTGGTATCATAAAGTCTGAAGAATGTTACATTAAATTGATAAGTAATTATTCGACTGGATAATTATAAAGATAAGTTTGCTTTTGAAATTACACCAATAATAGCCGTTGTACTAAACATGCTTTTACGCGAAATTTTTGACGAACATGCCTATACATTGATATTAATCACAATAATTATAATAACCATCGATTCAGACGTTTCTTCGAATTCAATTTCAATGAATTATTTCCAAGCTTTCTTTTAAACTGGGATGCATTTATAAAAAGCCGTGATTGATGCCGGTCTTATAATAATAATTGAAGTCTCATATATGTTCAAAGCAATGAAACTGTGGTTTATTCCACGCAAACTTATAATTATGCACAGTAGTATTATGCATTAATAAGATAATTAGACCACTAAATCCTTCGAAAAGTATTGTTTCAAATGAATCTCGTATAAGGTACCATTTATTTCATTCATTTTCTTTATCACTTAAAGTTTATCGCGCTAATAGCGTTCTTTCTTCTGCAGAAAGTAAATAATAGAAAACTCATGCACATATACGCATATGCATGTATATAAATATTAATACGTATTTATATTTAGATTCTATGCCTTTATGTATTGTGTATCTATGCACGTACACGCATGCATAAGTACTCGTAGGTGGAAATAAATAATCTAGTGTACTAATTTGCTAGTTCCATAAGTTTGGAATTATGCTCTTTCTTATTCTTTCACTTTCTACTTTCTTATTAATACTTTCATCACAGATGAAGTTACTTTTAATCCAATATATTACGTGTAGTTTTTCAAGACTCCTCACATCATAATAATCAAATAATTTGCTTGAGCTTTATCCACGAGCTTATAAGCCAAGTATTTATCATATTATTATGCAGCATATTCGTCCACTTTAACAATTTGTATAATTTTGGTCTAATAGATTATTTTGTCTCATATTTCACCAATAATTTCACAACTTTGAAACAAACTTTCACTTCTCTTGCTCACGTTTAAACCGCAGGAAAGCAAAAAAAAAAAATAATGTTCAATCTTCATTTACCGATGAATCACTCAAGTACAAATCATAAAAAAAAACTAACAAGAACAATGTATCGATAACCATAATAATGAGCTTTCAACGCAGCTAATATCATAAAAAGTTGCGATTGGATTATTAATATATTATCCACAAAAAAAAAGTCAAATACACGATTTGCCGGATACACGAAAGGATAAACGGCACGAGTCCAACTGAGTCGCGGCTCGACACAATCCGTATATATTAACTCCGGCGCGCAGCCACGTCTTGATTCTCTGGCAGATTTTCCCTGACTGGGCTGATTCTTAACCGTGGGAGCATGCGCGTCTCGCAAAACGATCTCCACCACTACTGCTACAATTGGCCACCCCCACTGTTATCGCCACCACCGACACTTGAAGTGTGTGGTGACTCGTAGCGAGAGTACCGATGACGCAGGCAGGTATGGACTTATACAAAGGAAGAAGAGAAAGGCACGCACGAAAAATACATAGAAGGGAGAAAGGAAAGCATTCTTGTATATGCATGTGGATAGCTACAATGACCTACCCTCACCATCTCTTAACTTTTTTTTTTTTTTTTTTTTTTTTTTTTTTTTATGAAATTTTATATTTCCTCGCGCCTTTATCTCGGCTATTCCTATCACCTCTATTCTCTCTTCATCCACCATCTCGTATCTTCTTTTTATTTCTCTCCTTTCGTATCTTACTATTATCCGCTCCTGTTTCTAAACTCAAAATAAATGGGGAATGAATAAAAGAAAAAGTTATTTCAAATATTATCCGAGGATTAGCGACGTGTAATTGATTAGGCTTGCTTATTGCATTATTAATTGTCATTGGTGTAATTACTAAATATATAATAAATATAAATCTATCGTTTCTCTTCCAAAATTCCAGCAAATATTTCGAACTAATCTGAATTGTAAAATAATTAATATTATTATACATAAATTAGAATACAATGTTTTTACAATCTGACTTATCTGAAATAATTTTTATGATTCTATACACTCTCGATTAAAACTAAACATATAATTTTATTTTAAAAAGCCATAGTGAATTCTATTTATTAATAATTTAAAAATTAACAGTTTGCATAATACAGAGCAAAAGTAGAAAAAAACAAATAAACAAATTTATATATAAAATTGAATACACACATTCAATAATTAAATGTAAGATTTACTTCAATAATGACGATGATAAGTATTTTGTTCTGAAATTATTGCATTATTTATGTCTGTAAGCTTACGGAAAATATATAATATTAGTATTTACCTTGTATTTATAATGAAATATTTGGAAATTTTTATGTTTTGTATCTAAGATCATAGTATAAGATTATAAGAATAAGAATTCAAATCTACTCAACTTACATTCATGATTATACTCGTAAATAAATATGTGTCTGCGCGTTGTTGGTGCACAAAGTGAGAGAGTATTGACACAACTATACAATAAATCCTAGTAAATTAAGATGGCGCATGAAGTTTGTATATCAACGTTCTCATAGTCACATATCTTCACAAACCATATTCGCATATCACAAAACGAAACCCACGTATGCTACCCATAAACGCTTGTTGTCACGACCGCATGATTACGGATGACCTAGTAGTCGACTTCCTATCCTTCTCCAATGGAGATCTATCGTCGCGCAAACATGTATCACAATGCGAAAAACAACGGCTGAGACAGATTTACTTACAATTGATTCGTAAAGGCCAACGCGTTTGTTAAACAAAAAAAAAAAAAATGTGTCCATAAACATCATTGTGCTCGGAATCACGAAATATTAAGGGTTATAATTAATCAAATAAGTACGATTCATTTCTTCATAAAAATGATTTATCATAAATAATAATCTTAATTTCTGCATTATTATATTCAATTTATAAACTGCAATATTATTTATGACAATATTTATTTCAATAAAAAAAAAAAAAAAATGAAACTTTTATTTTTAATATTAAATATTTTTACAAGACTATATTGGAATTCTTTTAACAGTACATTTTCTACATTTTACTCCCAATAATTTATTAAAACTGACGATAAAATTCAAAATTCGTTCTTTTAAAATTTTTGTATATAAGAAAATCATCATAAAATTACATTTAAATTGTAGTTTTCAAACAGTCGATGCAAATTTATCAGATGCGAAATTGATTTAAAAATGTGTAAAAATCTGACAGTTTTCCAAAGTTTGTGACTTACAATAATTTTCTTTAATGTTTTTATGTGCTAAACATTGTATAAAAGTATATAAAGATTTATGAACTGCAGCTAAATATTTATTTACCAATTTCTCTACACAAAATATTGCAACTTTTTATCATTTATTTTTATGTTATTACGTTCATGCCATTTGAAAACATAACAAACTATCATTAATTTTCATTAAACTTATGACATACCTACTAATACATATCTTAATATACATAAAAGTTTATAGAAATACAATTTACATATAAGGATACGTAAAAATATCTAAATTATTAATACGATTAATTACTAAGTGATTTTTATACGATTCATGATAATAATAATAATTTTATTATAAATAATATTTTATTTAAAAATATCGCAACATTTATACAAGCATATTATATTATAGATTCAAATTACCAAAATTAAATGAAGATTTGTTTTACTTGGATATTTAAAATGTAATTAGGTCTTCATTTGGATAGTGTAAGATCATAAAAGACACTTGCTACTGATATATTAATAAATATTATTTTCTATTTCAAAGTTTATTCTACAAAAGTTTTGATAAAGTCTAAACTTAAAATGATAATATAGATAGATAGAAGAGAAAAGGTTTGAAAAATTGTTCATTACTCAAGTCAAAGTTATAACAAAAAATTGTTCAAATATGCTGCTATTGTCAAATATTTTCTATTTAATTTTTATAATAATCACGTACACATATTGGCAGAAAATATATTCTACAAAAGATAGCGATGTTTATCTAATCAAGATTGTTCTTTTTATAATTTATGTCACTACGTCCTTTAGTAGTTTACAAACAGACACTAAATCTTATGAAATTTATGTGTAAAATATATGTACTTAATGTTGGCAAGGATGTACATAACACTTCGTATATGATTAAATTAGAATGGTTACTTACTAAGTCATGCATATTTCATTTTGTGGTTGTGTTTACATAAAAAAATTCCACACTTAGATTTCTTAAAGTGTATTATCAAAATCTATTACAAAGATTTATTTTTGAATATATAGTTTGATTTAAACTAGAATGACAAAATTTACAAATTACTTGTAGATATAGGAGTTTTTATTTTGTATATACTTTATCTTCTTATAGGATTTAAAAAATTTATTCTTTATTTAGACAGAAATACATATATATATATATATATAATGTATGAAGTATACCTATTTTCTTCTTAAAAATTGTTATTACAATTATATAGAGCTGGTAAAAAATTTATAACATTCTCATGATTTCTGATTACGTATTCAAGTGCAGTTAAAAGTTTAAATAAATTTTAGATTGTCCAAATCCAAGCCATTACAACTTAATATTTAAAATCTATATGAATATTTTAATTAATTCTCTGTAATTATAATTGTGTATAACATTGTTCTAAAATGTGGTTATATTATATCTAGCGAATATACATTATATGTATGAAAAATGTTTTTAAAAATTTTTATTGAATTCTATGATAACTATGATAACGATTAATTTCTAATTTCTCATTTGTCAAATTATAACATTATTTGAGAAAATATTAATCAATGTAATGAATTGATGATAAACAGTTAAATTACTTGACCTCTGCTTTTACAAATGTGAATAAGTCTTTGATGAAAAGGATTTCGGCATCTTAAGTTGTTGACCTGATGACTCGAAAAGGAATGGAAATGAACTTTGTTCGTTTCCCTCTTAAAAAGGGTAGATCGAAACTTCAAAGACGTGAATGAAAACTTAGAAGTTCTGCTTTAAATAGTGTCGTCGCGTCGGCAAGTGGTAGATGGCCCTTTTAAAAGTCATTTCTTGTCCAATGGATTAGGTTTAACGACTAAATTGAGTTTAAGGAATAAAGAAAGGAAGTGTGACTGATTGTGAGAAATATCGAGACATGAATGAAGAAGAATTTTCCGTTCCTCTTTTAATCTTTTATTCGATTATATGTCTGATTTGCTAATAATAATGATGCTGCTTCGTGCCCCGTTTGCAAATTAAGTTCAACCTATTTTTATAACTTTGAATTACACAAAGATGTTTCATAAATTGTAAAATACTTTCTTATTGAATAACCCGAGTGTATGTTAAATTACAATAATATTTTCAAATATAAACGTCAAATATTATAAATATATTAAAACTGCTTATTTTATAATAATAAAATTTCTTAAATTTTTTGAAAGAATTGATTAAAATTTTTCGTAATAAATGCAAGCTCTCAAGATTATGTATTGGAATGTGAAAAATATATACTATAGTATAGGACCTTTGGAAATCAAAATAAAATATGAATAAGAAAATTTTTTTAAATATT